TAAATATTTTGCTTTGTGCACTACCCAGTATTTCTGACCCAATTTCTTTTTTCCACAGATCCAGTGCTCTTCTATCTCTTTTCTGTTCCATCACCACTCAGAAAAACAGGCTGGGTTTCCTGAAGGTGCCTCTGCGTGTGGCAGAGGTTTTGTAGTAGATGATCTTTGAAGTTTTTTCCCAACGTAAACCATTCTGTAATTCCCTGATCCAGGGACCCAGGGAAAAGGAGGCATAACCACCCATTAAGGCATGGATGGCAACTTTTCACCAAACTCCCAGGTATGGTGGGGTCAGGATATAAGCACATAAGCCCAGCAGAGTTTGGCTCTAGGTGGATAGCCATTTTTTTTTTTCTTAATTTTAAGGCATTTGACTTTCTGAGCTGTGAGTCTCCTTAGAAGTCAAAGGCTCCTTGGAGAATGAAGCCGAGAAGAGGTGAACAGCGTTTGTCTTGAGGGAATCCTCCTTCCTCCAGGTGGCTTGGGCAGGGGCTTCAGCTCTCCACACTTCTTTCCACTCCATAAAAAGGGATAATACTGAATCCTTCCATGATGAGCCACTGCTCCAGTGTGCAGTTTTGTGGTTATTAGCAATGTTTTATCACAAAAGAGGAAATTCCATGCTATGGGTTCTGTGGGAGAAGCAGAAGGCCTGACTTGCTGGTCTGCTCCTTCACATTCTCCCTAGGTAGGGAGTACTGGGAAGAATTGGCATTCTCCCTTCTGTTTCCATTTCCCCATGAACCATGTCCGAGAGCAAGGGCAGATAATGTAACTTAGAGCAAGAGCAGATACTTTAACTTTTGTGTTGTTTGTTCAGCACTCAGAGAGAACACGTGGTGTACAAAATGAAGAGGAAGGTATGATTGCTTCTCCTCCAAGCTTACACATTGGTGGCTGATCCACTCACTAACCTCTCTGAGATGTCAAAGGAAGAGAAACCTCTTTTTTTATGTTAATTCATCATTAGAGAGAGTATTTCTAATTTATCATTAGAAGATTGGAAGTCAGCAAGATCCGGCCTAATATTGTGCAAATAGAAAAACAAAATTATAGAATCCTAGAGTATGCTGATTTGGACAGGACTCATGAGGATTATCCAGTCCAACTCCTGGCCCTGCTCAGGACACCCCATGAATCACACCATCTGCCTGAGCTGAAAGGTCAAACAAGAATGCTCCACAGTCTGACCATGCAAGAGCAGCAAGTAACAACATCCTTATGTTCATCAACAGAAACAAATCAACACTGAGCTGGTTACTCAGCTCTCTACTCAACAGCCTGCAAGACTCACACAGAATGCACAGCCATAAACCGGTGTGAGACAAGAAACATGGAATTGTCATCTGTCACAGATGACAGGACCTGCGAACCTTGGAAACCAAGTCTCTTGCTCACTAACCCATGCCTGTACCAATGGTACTTCTGTGTTACTAGGGTCCCTGTACCTCGGATAAACATTTGTTTCCAGTGACAAAACATTGTCATTGTAGGAAGAGTGAAAGTGTATCCTCAGACATGAGTTAGGTAAATGGTGTGAAAGTCAGAAGGAAAATAAAGGAGTTTGTAGCTATATTGTTGGGATCATGACAAGCAGCAGGCATGGGAGTGCTCAGGTGTGCTGCTGCTGTGACTGAATCCCTGAGTGACTGCCACTGACTCAGCCAGAGCAGGAGCAGTGCCTGCTCCTTGTGAGTTGCTTCACCCTGCAGGACCTATCAATACATGCAAATCAAACCTGCAGAGAGCGGCCTGGGGACAAGGCCTCTGGATGTGCTTAGAGTGGATGAACTGGGAAAGACACACATACTGCATCCATGCAGTATCTGAGGATGTACTGACTGAGCACATACATATGTACAGAAATAGGCACTTCTACGAACACAAACCCTACATTCCGCACTTGGGCCTCCTATTCAATGCACACTTCCCCCAGGAACTTCAACAGCTTTTGGTGTACATGCAATATGTAACATATCTTGTATTCTGTACTTATTTGCTGCACAGCTGCACAAATATAACACTTTGAAGAATACAGTTTAATCACTTGAGAACATAGTCTTTATGGAGTGATGAACAGTTTCTATTCCTTGCTTTTCAAACCAGCAATGTTGAAATGTCCAGCATAGATGTCTCATATCCAGATGTTTTCTACATCGAGTGATAATATTCAAGTAATAGTTTTATTTCCAATTCTGACATGAAAGAACATAAGTGTATCAGCACTTTCACTGAATTCAGTGGCAGAACCAACTGATAGGAGCCCATGTGAGTAAAGTGATTTTTTTACAACTGTTTGCAGATCTGGGCTAAATCTGATTATACTGCAGGAAAGATACATATCATTTTGTGTATTGCAATTTTCATCATTTCAGTTCAGATATCTCAGCTCAGTCCTTTGTTGTTTTTTGGTTTTTTTGAGATTTATAACAACAAATTTAGGAGACTTGCAGAAAGCTGGGACCTAAATGGTGCTATAATATATGTCTATGGTGTGTTGTCTATAGATGTCATTAAATTCAGTGCAGCAGATAGGCATTTCTGGAGCCAGCAGGATACATTTTGCGATTTCTCTTCCATCTACATGGCAAAAATTACAGAGACCGTCCCTCACATTTGGCAAAAAATCTCATTTATTAATAGAGTCCTTGCTATCTTCATACAAGTGTTTTACAAATACTTTTTGATATGCAGAAGTTAAATAAACATGCAAAATTAAAAGACACATGAAAATTACTGATTTTTAATTAATAGAGATCTATCTGATTAAATAGCAGAAACAAACCTAGCCCAGGATAAAGTAGTTGGAAAGGACTTAAAGAGATTGTGTAGTTTAGCTGCCTGACCACTTCAGGGCCGACGAGCAGTTAAAGCCCAATGTGAATGGCACTGTCCAGGTGCGCTGACAGGCACAGGACATCCACCACCTTTCTGGGAAGACTGTGACAGTGTTTCACCATTTTCTCAGTAGGGAGGTACTTCCTAATGTCCAGAGCAGAGAGAAGAGATCAGTGCCTCCCTCTCCAGGTCCCCTGCCCAGGGAGCTGTACAGAGCAATGAGATCACCCCTGAGCCTCCTTCTCTCCAAACCAGACAGACCCAGAGCCCTCAGCCCCTCCTCACAGGATGTGCCTTCCAGCCCTGCCACCAGCTCTGTTGTCCTCCTCTGGACCATCCCAGGACCTTCTTCCCACCCTTCTCAGAGTGTGGGGTCCAGCACTGCACACAGGACTCAGGGTGAGGCGCACCAGGGCTGGATCCAGTGGGATGATCCCAATCCCAGCTGGTGATGCTGTGTCTGCTGCACCCCGGGATGGGGTTTGCCCTCCTGGCTGCCCGGGCACACACTGCTGGCTCACCCTGAGCTGCTGCCCACCAGCACCCCCAGATCCCTTTGGCAGGGCTGCTCTACACACACTCCTCTCCCAGCGTCTACTGCTCTACACACACTCCTCTGCCCAGCTTTACTGCATCCCAGGGGGCAGAATCTGGATTTGTTCTTGTTTAATTTCTTGCCACTGATAATTACCCAGTGCTCCAATCTATTTCAGATCCATCTGCAAGGCTCTTGTGCTTTGAGAGAGTCAGCAGCACCTCTCAGTTTGGTATCATTGGCACACTTGCTAATGGTGCATTCAAGTCCTGCATCCAGATCATTGATAAAGTTTTTGACCAGAACTGGTCCTACAGTGAATTCCTGAGGAATACCACTGGTGATTGTTCACCAGGCAGATGCAGCCCCACACACTAAAACCCCTGAAGTTCTGACATTCAGCCGGTTTTTCATCCAGCACCCAGTGAACCTGATCATCACAACAGCTTGTCCAGAAGAACACTTTGAGAGACAGAATCAAAAATCTTAACAAAATCATAATAAATATTACAAAATTCAAGAAAAGCCTTACCCACCACATTCCTTTCATCTATTAGGCAAGTAACCCTATTCTAGATGGGTATCAAATTAATTAGGCAGGACTTTCCTTTTATGATCCCACAATGACTATGCCTGGTGATTTCATTGTCCCTGAAATACCTTTTAATAGCACCTAGTTTGATTTGACAGCCATCCAGTCAAAACACTTGTCCTCTGGATTAATTCAGTAGTGTAGAATTACTATGCGTCCCTGTTGCTGCCTCTTACATCCCATATTGGATATTGCAGAGCTGCTCACAGGCTCTGGAAAGAAATAATTTTTTTTATCATTGTGGGCTTCCCAAAGCCCAGCGTGTACTTTACATTCTGAGATTTCTTTTTATCTTCTTGCAAATCTCCAAAGAAACCAAAGACGCAAAACACTCACTGAAAGCATGAAAATACACTGTGAACAAGATGGAAATAAAGCAAATTATCATTTTATTCATAAATATCAAATAAGTATAATTATTGGTGACCTTTAAGATTATGTTAAAATGGTAATATAAATTTCTTAGAGCCTATATAAGGCCCACAAAAGCTTTTACTTCAGGCTTTCAGTAACCACATTTCTCTTGGAGGAAAATGTGAATTCCTCTGCTTTCAGCAAATCTGTTGCCTTTCTTATACTTTCATTTAATGCTCATCATTAACAGCTGTTGTGTATAAATATTTGCTCTATTTTGTTAGCATGGTATCCAAGAAAATGATGTCTTTGTGATAGTACATTCAGGTTTTATGTCTTCCCTCTCCCCCACTAAAAACGTTTGAAATTGCTGGCCAATTTTTCTGAAGGAGTAGATGTCTTGGAAAATTCCTTAGCAAGGTCATGAAAACAGGCAGCTGGAGAGAGGATAAAGACTAACCAGACATGAAACTGAGCTCACTCAAGGCTCATAAGCAGAGAAAATCATACTATGCTGTAACCACTACGCTTTACTAGTGTATTCCTCTCTTCATATTTTACTGGTGCCATATTAGCTGTAGCAACCCATTGCCACTTTCTCATTTGATATCTGAGGTCTACGAAAAAGTGAAAAGAGCAGGCTGAGCCCAGACGGACTTGGCTGGAGTCTTTGGAAGACATTTACACACAACAAAATTCAATCAAAATTTCACGGGTGAAACATCCAAAAATCTCATCTCCAAAGGTGACATACTCCAGTGATTCACTAAGAAACTCTTCTTCTGTCTTTGTAATAACACTAGGGTTTTGGTACATTGTCATTGGAGCAGAAACACCATAAGGAATCACTATCTAAAATAAAAAAAAAATTATGACAACAGTGTAATGCCATATAATACTTACATAAGGCACTCTGCAGATTCCCATAGCATCTGACATATTTTGACCGATGTTTGCAATGGATTAGGGCACTATATGGAATCAGTGACAGTACTATGGTGAAATAAGGAAAAAAGCTGCATATAGAGGGAGACAGAAATTTTGCAGAGTCACCCAGCAGTTCACTGAGGACAGCTACACAGCACAGATTTAGACATCTCAAATATTCTTGAAGAATTTGCTAAAATGAAGGCTAATATAGCAAGATGCAGCAACACCTGTATGATATTTACCTTTGCCTTATACTCTGCTTGCAGTGGTTGTAGAATAATAAAAGCCTAGATAGAATATAACCAAACCAATAAAAGCCTAGATAGAATATAACCAAACCAAACAAAACAAACCATTAGTATAGGAAGCTCAGTGCTTTCACTATCCTCAGAAGTGTAAACATGTCCTTAACACAAATGGCCTAACATTGAACAATCTAAGGCCCAGGGCATTGGTGGAAAACACAAAAATGAAGTTTTCAAGATACAGTTTCTGCTGGTGCACCTGGGTGAGGCTGACTCTTTCTCTGCACCAGAAAAGATGGAACCTGGCACTGTCCTGAGCTGGACATCCAACAAGTGTTACTGCAGACTGCACTGGAAGCTTAGACACTTTTATGAAAAAGTAGAGTCCCACTTATTCTAGCTATTGTTTCATGTGGCTCTGTGCTCTGGATGATCCCTACTGTGCCAGTCAGACACTTGCACTTGTTGTTTCTTTTGCAATGAAAAGTGGAACAAAATGAAACTCGTGCCTTCAGTATTTACCTAGTAGCATAACCTGCAGGTAAATGTTTCAAAGTCAAGTGTTTCTGAATTTGAAGAAAAGTTTTAGCTTCAATCTTTTAGATTTATGTTTTTCTCCACAGCATGAAGAGTATGCACATACTAACTTTGTGCAAATTTGAGTTTCTTTCAAGAGAGATTTTAGGAGTTAGATCTTTGAGAAATAGTCAGACACTTGATGAGGTTGAATTGCTCCTCTGTAATGAAAAATATAAAAGTCCTAATAAAGAAAAAAAAAAAAGACTGTTTTCCAAACCCATCATTTGATAGTCTTAAAATTGTAACACCAACACTGTCATGATATTGCATGATATAATGCTGACAAGTAAAATAATTTCCCTCCAGAGGACTAAAAAAAATGTTACAAAAGAGCTAACGAAAACAAACACCAAGCCAAAACAAAAGAAACCCCAAAGTTAAAAGATACTTGAGAATGAAAAAAGACAAGTCGACAACATAACATTACTAATGTACCATATCATTTGGAAATCATGTTAAGTAAACATTTTTAAGGATCTAAAATTATCTGGTTTGAATGAAGTTCAAATTTTGAGCAATGAGGGATTTATATAAAAGGAGAAAAAGGAAATAGAAAACTATATTTTCTTACCAAGAATAGCTCTTCTTTTTTTTGGCCAATCTAAACTTTAGCTACATTTAAGAAAATATCATTAGAATTTTTCATTTGAAGGAAACCTGAGTTGATCAAGTTACTTTTGGAGTTTTACTCAAAATCATTCATTCCTCACTTCTGTGAGTTCATGAATTCAAATTCAGAGCAAAAATTTAGGCGAAATCTATGAAGTTAGGCAACTCACCAGTCACCTACCAGAAATTTTATTCTTGGTTCCGTAAGCAAAACCTAGCACTTTTGTTTATCTACAATTTAAAATAAACAACAATTGTGTATCTACAATTTAAAATTTAGATAAATGAGCATAGTAAAATTCATCACTTTCCAGAATGAAGACAAATTGTGAGCACTGGTTTAATACTATTTAATCAAAGGCAAAATCATTCCAAGGATCAGACATACCCTGAGCTGACTTCATTTACAGTGTTTCACTCATTTTTGGTTGTCGGGTATTGCTAATTTACATCACTTCATTATTTCAATGGAGCAATGCTATTTATATTCTGATCATTTTTATACTGATATGATGCTTTGATAAACACTTAATGGGGATTTCTTCATAAAGCAATGTGAAAGATTTACCTTAGTAGCTGAGTACATTGTATATAATGGACAAGGGAAAGTACTCGAACCAGAGGACAGATTCAAAATTAGAACTTTCTGACTGAAATTTAATTTAAACAGTTACATTCTGTTTACAGTTTACAGGATTATAGTAAAAGTATAGTAGTATATTTCTGCATGAGCAGAAAACATTTTTTCCCCAGAAGGCATAGGTCTCCTATTATACTGTCAAATGTGCCTTCAAAAGACCCCCTTTTTACAGTTTAGTTTGGTTTAAACCAGACAGGAGTAATGTCATAAGTGAAAATTGAATGCCTGCCACAATCAGAACCATGGGAACATTGTACATGCAATTGTACATCTAACAGAGAGAAAAGTCTGTCATCAGAGGAAAGATTTTATTCTCCTAAGTAATTGGCAGATCCCCTTTGCTCTTTAGCCAGCACATTCTTTTTCCTGCTGCATGGATCTGTTGGTTTAGCTTCCCCATTCACAACTCCCTGTACACATCACTAAAACCCAATGCATTCAGCAACAACAAGGAAAAACAAAACAAAACAAAACAAAAATTAAACAAGAATTTTTTTTTTTTTTTTTGCCAAAACTAAAAGCATGTACTGGCCTTTAAAGTGCAGTATTTAACAATATTTTCTAGAAAATCCACCCAAAAAGCCAAACTTCTAGTTTAAGGACCCCACATCTAAAATACACATAGTACAAAAAGAGGACAGAGATCCTAAATCACAGAGCTGAATTAAAGTCTCTGATTAGTAATATGGGTATTTCCAGAGCTTGAAAAGCATTATTCCAACCCAAACTACCATTCTTAGAAGAATAGATAATATATTCAAATGCTGTTTCTTGCTTTATTAGGCCCATCACATCCTATTCTATTTCTGCCACACATTTTTAACTGGGGACAGATACATATTTTGTTTTCTGCTCTGTTCTACAATTGACTGACAATTTGTGGGAGTTCCTATACATATAATCATACAGCAATAACAGAAGTTGAAGATATCTTACTGATTGATTGACTGTGAAATTCAGAAGTTAATGAAAAAGCCTAACTACCACTAAAGGCATTGAAGGTAGAAGCTTAACACAGTTCAAAGTTATAGAAAAAATACCTTGCTTGCATCTGTTTCAAAACAATTCTTGTCAACTATATGACAAGTATTTTAAGAATTCTTTCCATTCCCCATCTTCCTGACAGCATTTTTGAACTGATTTTATTTTAATAACAAGTTTTTTCACTTGATCAAGCTATATATATACAGCTCAAATAGCTAAAATATGGCACATTCAACATTTTGGAAAATATTTTAGAAATGCTTGTGGCCTGAAAATCATCTGAGTTGTCAAAAAATTCCAAAATTTAGCCTTCTAAGCAGTGAGAGTCTTATGTTTGTCCAAAGCTTTTCAACAGTTTCTGAATTTCATAATTCTTCAACATGGAATCATAACTGCAAGGAGAAAGTCAACTCCATGTTCTTTTTGCATTTTCAGTTCTGCCTCTAGCTGGATCAGAAATTGCAGAAAATCAGGAAAATATATAATTTTCTTCCTGCAACCAGAAAGAGCTTTAGGATCATTTTTAGTGCTAATTATTTTATTATTTTTTCATTCTTATTTTAGCAATAGACTTAATCATGAATCTGATTTTTAAAGTGAAATTAGATGCATTTTTCAGATAAGAAATCAGCTTTTCTTTGTGCTTTTGAAGGGTATTATTGATAGGAAACCTAAGTACCAGGAAGAAGTCATACTTACATTATGAAATGTGTCAGGACAGCAGTGTGACCTAACTTGTAAAGGCTTGTAGTGAAAAGTAGTGCAAGTTAATGGCGCAGTTTAATTGAATATTTGTTATTTCCTGATATTTTTTTCAGTAGGGTCATTGTGCTCAAGAGGATAGTAGGAGCAGTGTGGGGTTGACAAAGTCTGAAAACACAGTCAGTCACATCAGCTTGGATGAAGAGGAATTTCCAAATAAACATGGGAAAATGTCCTTCCTTTGCAGTGCTGAAAATCCCACTGACATCTGTGGGAGCCAGGATATGTGGACCTCAGGCATTACGCTGGGAGAAATGGTGAACGGGATCTAGCAGGAATCCAGACAGGGAGGAGAAAGGAAATCCAAAAAGATTTAAAGATTATTTGGACCTAACCATGAGGAATGTTGGTTAGGAGAATACTTTCTTCTCTGTAATTTGGAGGAAAGTGAATATACATGGAACACTGAAAAGGATGTGGTTGCAGCAGTGGGGTAAGCAATGCCCAGGCACTGCAAAAACAAAAGAGGTTGATTCTGAGATATAGGTAACGTGGGAAATGACAAAAAGAAAAACCTCCTGTATCCAGATCAAGAGGGCACAGAATGGCACATATATATAGCATTCAGATATTGCAGATATTTCTGTTCTTTTGACACAGAAATAGAATATATCCTATATCCTGGGAGCAGAAATGTCACAAAGCTACTTATAGAATTTGCTCCCACTGACTGGTATTACATGATTTATTATCTTAAGTCATTAGGCAGCAGTACAAATTTGGGATGTAAATTTTGAAAGCCAGAGAGGGACAAACATCTGCTGTTAATTTTCATGTCATTTTTAGAAAGACATGAAAGGCATGAAAGTCAAGGTTGAGATCTTCTGCTCGTGTTCATGTTAACATGCTGCTTGCAAACAGCAGAGCAATACAAATCTTAATCAGAGTTGAAAAGCATGAAATACTAAATGTTCTTGGAGGGGAAGGAGCCAACCAAAATTAGCACTAAGGGGTAACAATACAGAATCAGGAGACAGTTTCTGGAGTTTCTGTCCTGCATTGATACAAAAACATGTTGGCAAAAGATAATTGTGACCAAAAAATGTACAGTGCTAAAATTCAAACTACAGATTTACCTGTCTTGAAAATTTTAATTCTGCTGGAAATCTCCCTGCATACCAAAACAAAAATGATTTGTGAAATGTTTTAGCTGTTTCAGCTGTAGTGCAAGGATGTGTTTCAACTGAGAAATTGTGTTAAGAATTTTCCAGTCAGTTCTGATCAAAATATTTCACAGGTAATAGAAACAGGTGAGTTCCTTAAATTAACACTGACTGTCCTGCTGAAAATCACTGATGAATTAAATTATAATACATAGAAAAGCTACTAATGTACTTTTTAATGAAATACATTACAGCCCCAGAACAGATAGGAAGGAGTCATATATCTACCTGGAACAGAAATAATATTGCAGTTGACAAGGTCCAGCAGGAAGAAACAAAACAGTAAACTCCTTAAGCAAGAGTTTGACGGAAACAGCCTGCCTGAAATTCTCTGATTTGGAAGAGAAGATGACACAAAAACTGAATGAATCCTGAGAGAGGTGCTAGGAAGATACACACTTAGAAATTCTGGCCTTTTCATTGCAAGTGATATAGAGGCAAATAACAATAAGGCAATGGAGTACTTGATCACATCCTTAATCCTGTCACTCAATTCAACCGCCGTAAATTAATTCCCCCACAAAGTAAACAGCATTTAAATGAGGTTTCTTTTTTCTTTCTTTTTTCTTTCTTTCTTTTCTTTTTTTTTTTTAATTTTGTTTGTTTGTCTATTTCCACATACTTAAGCAATGTGTCTCGAAGAAACTAAGTTTTAATAACGCTAATAAGAACCCAATATTTTCAGCTGTGGCTGTGAATGGACTGGACCCCATTACACTACAAGCCAGCAGGGAGTCAGGGAGTTTGCTAATCCCTGTTCCAACCAGGTCAGCTGCACTCTCCCCTCTATCGCTGGATGCTTCCTGCAGTTTAGCTGAAAACTACCATTCTTCTTCTCTTTCAAGCTCTTCCAAGCATTAAACCCAAATCAAAATATGCTTCTTCAGGCCCAGCTCATTTCCAACCCAACTGAACAGTTAATACTTGCTTGTAGCAGGGGCAAAATCTGTGCCTTGTTCAATGAATTACCATTCCTCATTGTTACATTTGAAGATGAAATCTACAGAATAATCCTAATTCTTCTATGTTTGGCCCATTAAGGAAATGGCATGGAAGAGGATTATGAAGCATTCCAACATTGCTAATTAGTCAGGGAAAATACAATGTTAAGAATCAAATCTAGACAAAGTGCATAGTTCATCTAATTAAACAAAGTGCTTCCCTTCAAGACCCAGAAGATTGTGAACTACATGTGAGGAGAAACACTGCTTAGTGTTAAGTCCTGTTTTCACTGAGGTCACTGATACTGAGGAATGCTGTCTCTGGCAAACAGAAAAACAGACTGTTGCTAAAGCTGTTTGTGTATTGTTGCTGTTGTTTCATTTCTTTCACTATTAAAAGGTTGACTTTCTTTAAAATATAAAAATACCTTCCAAAACCCCATCTTTTTACTGTTGCTTCATGAGTCGTACCAGATAATGAGCCACAGACTCATTATGTATATTTGATTTTAATCATTGGCTAACAAGTTGTTGCAACACATCATTTATACAATGGTCTGTTAAATACACCACAGCCATAAAATACTTGTCAATTAACAGACCTTAATGACTGATCCAGAACAGCAGTATCCAAGTCCTTCAGATCTTTTTCAATGTTCTTGTACACTGAATTTTTAGTGAAATCAGCTTGTATAACCTTCACCTTTTGATCTGTGGCCAGCTCTTTAACTAAAGAAAAACCCAAAACCAAAGACCAACCAGCCAAGAAAACCTCAGTTCTCATCTACGGAGAAAGAGAGGGGAGCTGTAATAAGTAATGAGAGAAACAAGCAGATGTCTTGCTAAGTAATGCCCATCATACATCAAGCAATTGTTTCAACATTCTTACTCTAAGAAATAATACAACACAAGCATAACACTCTCACTCTACCCAGCTGTTTTCAGGAAAATGGCCTGGCAAATATAGGAAGGATTCAATCAATGGAGCTTTTCTTACATGACCTAAACAACATTAGGTCTTCTAAGAAGATCTTTAGTCCTTCAGTAAGGTAAAACAAAACAAATTCAGAAATAAGACGCACAGGACTTCTTCCCCTTGTTATCATAATATTTATAGATAAACACTGTCAGCATATGTTAAACAAATGAATGTGGATGCCAGATCCCCTACACAAGCACAGCTTTGCAGAACAGTTTGAAATAATTTTGATGGATAAGATAAGCATTTTAACAAGTGGAACTTATCTTTTTACACAAGAGGAGGGGTAAACAAGGATGGATGGGATGCAGCATTTTCTGTATTATTTTTTTTTAATTCCTTGACTATTTTAACATTTGCACTCTCATAGTCTGAACCTTTCTTGGGATTTTGCAGCACTGAAAGGCATTTTAGGGAGGCTATAGCTTAAATTTTACAAGGTCAATTAGAAGGGAAAGGGAAATGTGTGTGATTTTTCCGATGTCATTTCTATGCAGGAGGGGAGCCCAGCTCTACATTGCCATTTTTTTCAGCAGTTGATTTATTGCTGTTCATATTTTCAATGTAGTTTCATGAGGAAAAGAAGTAGAAACTCTTTATTTACTCATTTTTAAAGGCAAGGCTCTCCTTTAAAAGGGCTCAATAAGGTCTCCTCTAACTAGATGTTCACATTGTAAATTTTTGCTACTAAACCTGCTTTCAAGTTTTACGGGCAACCTGAAATCCAGATGAAGTTTGCTGAAAAAGTGACAGGCAAAGCTTGGAAATGTCAATAGAGTATCAGATTGCAGGCTCTCTGCAAGTGGCAGGAATTCAGGTGCACACCCATGGCAAAAATTGTGCATGGTTTTTGGCAAAATGTCTCTTGCTGGCCTGTATTCTGATTTTATCATACAGAAGACAGAGAGCATTGCCTTGAATAGGAATCAGACTTGCTGAATTATTACCCAGAAATTTTGTCTCATCCATTGGTGCTCATTCGCTAAGAAGAGGCCTTGTGCCAGCGCCTGTGGGAGAGCAAGAATGCAGAAAGCTGGCTTTGGGTCCAGCAGATCAATTTGCAACAAATCAGAACACCTGTTTGAGTGGAGGATGAGATAAACTTGCTGCCTTCCAGTTGTTCCTCTTTGCCCCTCAAAGCTCTTTGCAAACTGCAAGTTTTGACCACCTTACACTACTCAAGTAGTGAAGTCTGAGGAAACAGCAAGCACACTGACAGCAGACCTGAAATGTGTGCTGCATCTTGTGTGCAGTTTTAGAGGACATCTGTCTCCATGACAGAAGAAAGGAGGAAGGACTGCCCTTTTTCTTGCCCTCTTTCTAAGCTGCAGTTCTGTGTATGAAAGGGACAAAACATCCTTTGAACCTTCAACCTATAAAAGCAACTCTAGTGGCAAATGACCCCGTCATGGTCCCAGGCTGGGAGAATGGTGAAACTATAAATAAAAGGATATTGTGAGTGTAAATGCAGTGAGTGGGAAAGAACAGAGCAACAGCTGGAGCAGACACCTACAGTGACCTTCTGTTTGAAGAGCTCTATAAACAAAATGAGATGGTCTTAAAAAGTATAGTGATGTTGTGGCCATCCTTCTCGTGGGCAATCAGAAGGGCAGCCAAAACTAGAGCAACATAAAAATGAGGATCAAACAAGCCATTTGGACTTTCTCTGCAACTCCTTGTCTGTACAGAACTGTATGGCTGCAACCAGCACTGTCAGCCAACAAACAAGTACTCCAGATGGCTTTCCTCCATCTCTTATAAGAATAAACCAATATATTAAAAAACAATAAAACTCTCATGCTGACAAATGAATTACCCAGGGATAGCTCTTCAGAAAATTAAAGCAATTCTGCAAAGGAGAGAGCCAAAAAACAATTTCCAATGTTTCTTATGTCTCTCCCTCCCTATGACAGATTTATGATAGTCTTTGAAGATTCAAGGCATTACATCTCTGTTTAAAAGTCCTAAGTGTCCTAGAGTAAAAAGCCTAGCTTTTCAAACACCAGGACAGTTTATTGTCTTTTTTCTTCTTTAAATGTTTTTTGTTTTTTTTTTTTATTTTAAATAATGGAGTAAAAACTAATTTAAGGAAAATTAAAAGTGGAACCAAGTTGGCCAGTTCAATGTGTTATAAGATGTATTTCTAAGACTTTTACATCTAACTTCTTCTGGCCTTAGACCACTTGGGAATTTGCTGTCAGATAGGATAATGTGCTGCTTTTTGAAATTTACCGAAAAGATAATAAATCAGAATGAAGTATGAAGTTGTTTAGGATATACAGCATTCCAGAATCACTCCCCTCCTATTTAGATAGTTTAGAGAGTTACAAAGATGTTCTGAAAATCAGTGTAGCAAAATGAATGCCCAAGTGGCACAAGAACTGCTCTTGAAAGGCCTTCTTGAAGTGCTACAGCAACATTTGAATATAAAGAGAGAAGCACTAAATCTTAGGTGGTATTCATATTCAGTGGAAATTTACAGGTAGGAGAGTAAATTGAAGAGTTTACCTTAAGGGACCAGCAAGACACAACAGACAGTTTTAAATATCCTTTTAGTATGCAGAAAGGCTTGGGAGATGAGTTGTTTTATGCTAGTCAGTGAACTCACTATGTTACCTGCTTATTTCTTGGAGCAGGCAGGACAAGAGGCAGAGGACACAGCAGAGCAGATTGGAAACTCAGCCTATAGCAGGGAGGACAGCTGAATGAATTAGCATCTTAACAGGTCTTTGTGGGAGTAAGGTATATTTTGTCCTGGGCTGTGTGGGTTCCTTTTTTATTCACTACTTAATTCTATATTAGCAGACATAATTTCTGTATAGTTTCCTGCATCACCAAATCCAAATTCATTAACTGTGTTCTCTGCTAATCTAAAGTGCTACAGCTGTATTTTTATTGTATCTGAGGACAACATACCTTATTTTTCATTTTAAAAATACTTGTTTCTACTAAAAATCCACAAAAGCAAACAAACAAAAAACCAACAACAACAAAAAAAAACCCCACAAACCAACCCCAAAACAACCAATCAGAACAAATAAAAAAATAAAATCCCTACCAAACTCTACAAACCCCAACCACGTTTGTGCTGAGGAATTTTCTATCTTGCAGAAGTGGATTTTTTTTGTTTGTTTGTTTATTTGGCTTTAACAACAGTATGGTACAGATCCTGAACATATGAATGGATCCTAAGGGAGTATTTTGCAAACAGGACCTAGCTCTGCCTGTACAGCTTGCTCAGGAAATACAAGCAGAAGAAATGAAACAGGACTGCAGTTAGTAGCATTCCATAATTTCTAATCCCCTGGTATTGTGGCTTGATAATTGTTTCACAACCACAGTACTGAATGTGCTAAATGAGCAGTATACCTGTGCTAGTGATTCTGTCTGCCCTCTATAACACCTACTTTGGTATTTTTTATCTCATTTTAAAAGAGCTTTCCAGTCTGAATGAGTGGAAATCTGGTTTTCAATTCCAGTGTGTCTTTGGAGAAATGTTTTTCTTACTGTGGATTTCTGCCGGCTCCAGCTCTGAGTGCTGTTCTCAGGCACACCTGTGGCCCACAGAACTTGGAAAGCCAAACATTGAGATGTCTGTAATTACCCACAGTTTAGATTCCTTTAATTTATAGCACTCAGTATCCAAACAGAAGTGGCAGTATAATTAGGTAAATAATACAATCAGTTTGAAAATGGAGCAAGTCTTTTCAATACAATGTCCAATGGACTGCAAAAAGGTATTGTGTAGATATTTAAAAAAAAGGAAACAAGAGTAATGTGTCCAGAGTTCCCTGCTGGTTTTAGTGCCTCCACATCAGATACTCTATACTTTTCATTGCTGTATTTTTCTCTCTTTCCTTTTGTTCATGCCATCTATCTGTTATTAAGATACTAATTTCCAACCTGACACAATAAATAACAGATGATTCACTCTGGACTTCAGCTAAAACCCGCTGAAAACAATTGAAATACTTCACTGGGATTTGTCACCTATTTCAGCAAGTTGTGGGAAAGGCTATGACCACAACCAGGTGGAACAGTGTGTAAACCTCATCAGTGTAGCCTGACTTCTGGGGTCACACAACACACCTCCCCACACCTTGGATTACATGGATAACACTGCTGCTGTCAGTGAAGCTTGGAGCTGTCACTGAGCAATTGAAAAGCCATGGGTGTGTGCAGAAGGTGTAGGAGTGTTTGCAGAACAGGCAAGTCCTTCATTGCATGCTGCTACACAGTGCAGTGCAGTATGGCCTCAGTCAGGAAGGTGTCCAGTGGGTGGCCTTGTACTCAGTCAAAGTGTGGAAGAATTTACAACTTTCCTCGTCAGATACCCCTTGCTTTCCAAGGGAAAACAAGCCTATCCAGCCCCACAAAAAAAAAAAAAAAAAAGAGAGAGAGAGGCACGTTGAATAGAAAATTTCTGGGTCCATTCCTTGATTTTGGTAGCTGCAGGAGTCTGCCACATCCCTGACAGATGTGCTGCTCTCTTAGTTAAGTACCCTGGACCTGATGATACTCTGCTGGACTCAGCTGCTAAGCCTTCTTAAGGGAAAGTCTTTCCAACTTGTATGGATATAGTCTTGGGTTGACACATACTTTTAAACATGTAAATCAAGGAATTTGCTGGATAGAAGCCATGTATAGAAAAAGAGACAGTGGAAAGAATGATTTTCATTCTAGCAATCTGTAAAGTTAATGGAGGATAAAAACTCATTTGACTCCTAAATAAATTCTAACTGTCAATCTTAAAGTATTTATACAAGACATTCACCAGGATTAATGGTTAATTTCCTTTGAAGAAAAGAAAGGGAACATTAATTCTAAAGGCACTCTATTTAACTGTTTCATCAAGAGCCAAATGTAATTTGAAAGCCTCAAAAAACCAACCAACCAACACACCAACCAACCAAAAAACAAACCTGGTACTTTGATTTTGTTTTTAGTCCTCCTCTGCACTGTTCCAAGAACTACTTTAAAGGTAACCTATTTATCTGTATTTACAGATTTTTGAGGGCAGATAAAGGCAGTAAAGAACACACATTCACTTTTTTTTAGCCCATTACACTCTTTGAAAGTAAGCATATATTTTTAGAGTGATCCATGTCTAGAAGAGCTCAAGGGACAGAGTAATATAAAAATGCTCTTAGTATTGGAGAAATACTTGGAGGTACAGCTGTAGCAATATCCAGCACCCTGCTGTGTTAGATAACAAGGGAAAAGACTTGCAGATCCCTGTAAAGCCAGCCTGGTAAATGGGAGGATAATTTTGAGACAAATGCTCACCAAATTCAGTTTTTCAAAAGTTCTTATCATCACTATAGTTAATCCACTTCTTGCCAGGTACAAGAGAGGAATATAAAATTGTTAAGAAATAGTAAGGCGACAAGGATCTTTCCATTTTTTACAGTTTTGCAAAAACAGTAATAATGAATTTTGAAATTGTTTTCATTCACCTGTCACTTACCTAATGGATAAACAAGAGAAGTTAAAACCAGGCCAAAAAATAATCAGTCTTCTAGAGACTTCCAGAATATTTCCTTCACTGCATAATTTTGGACCTTTACAAGAAAAATATACTGGACAACAATCAAATCCCAATAATATGAAAAAATAAAAATAATGTGAGCCAACTTCAAATAAATGAAAGTCTACAGGGAGTGAAAATCACATGGAATTTCTCAGAAATACATTTTTATTTTTATTTTTATTTTTATTTTTATTTTTATTTTTATTTTTATTTTTATTTTTATTTTTATTTTTATTTTTATTTTTATTTTTATTTTTATTTTTATTTTTATTTTGGAGCCTAGTCATGTTGCTGGCTTTCCAGTCATTTCATAGCATCACCTTCCATCATTATATTTTTTTCCTGAGGAACTACATTAAGCCCATTGAAATGAAGGCCCAACAGTAGAAAAGATTTGGACCTTAAGAATTTTCACTGAATATAAATTAGATCTGATCCAGGTTTGATGGATAAATTTTAACTGGTTTTTTTTCTTATTTTTTAATTAGATGCAAATTTAAAGAACTAAATATTCAAAAATCAAAGGAAAAAAGGTGAATTATAGACATAAATACTCAAAATAGAGTCACAAAAATGTACATCCACAAAGATGTTTGCAATAGCTGTAATTCTATAGCTGCAAACGCTATTTAATGTAACGATCCATTTATGATCAGTTTCATGTAACCATGTGCAGAACAAACATAGAATGGTTTTCTCCTGATTTTCTGAGGCCCCCCATTCCCATCAGATTTTTAGGCAAAGTCAGAGAAAGGGCCATGGCCTCATTTTTGGAAATTAAGTTATTAACAATTGTCAGCTGAGCTGAGTGTATAAAGAAAGATAAAACTAAAACTGGAAAAATGCCTGTGAGAGAAAGGAGAAAGAGAGCTAAATTAGCCATCACAAAGCATAAAGCTTGTGTTATCTGAAAGAACCTTCTGATTTTCTTAGAAGAAGAAATGATTGCCAAGGACCATCCACTGAAGATCCATTCATTTCTATAGCTGACTCACTGCAACACTTTCTTCTTAAACTATTTGAGGAAACAGTTTGTCCCGTTGGGTTATGATGAGACAATGCAGAGAATGTTAAGAAATAAGGACCTTTGCTCAAAAATTTTCTCCATCAAGAGTACAAGGGGATATTGCCCTGCTAAAGGCATCAGCCACAACCATTTGCATTTTCAGCCTTTCTCACAATTCTGTCTTGTGTAGATCCACTAACATAATTGATCAGGGCTCCAAAAGCACCTGCACCTTGGGTGTTTGGGTTTTCAGAAATCTGCTTTAAGTACTCCACTTGAAGCTCTCCAGTAGAGAACTATAATTGCCTACATATTGGTAGATTTTCCATTGTCTGTAAGGAATTTGACTCAAGGCATTTTCAGTCAGAGATATGGTCTCTGTTTCCAGTGTCCCTCCAGTTGCTCCCTTCTGTCATTTGGGGGTGTTTGCACAGGGATTGTTTAGACTTTTGCATCTTCAGACCCAAGACAAATTGCCAGTCATGTAATACACAAAATAAAAAAAGTTCTGCTTCACTGGGCTTCTCAGTATCACACATTTTTCACTGTATGTCATTTGACAGAAAATCCCCTCCTAAAATCTAACTATAAAATGATTCTTACTGCTAAGGTTGCATTGTATTTCACCTAAAAGCTCATATTTAGAGCAACCTTATGAAAGTGTTACCTATCAGGTGAGAGGAACCTCTCTTGTTGCTGTGCACCATTCTAACCAGAAGTCAAGGCAAAGGAGTCTCTAGTCTCTTTTGATTAGTCTCTGACTAGTCTCTTTTGCTTCCTCATCCACATAGAAAATGTGTATCCTTTCCAGAAACAGGTTTTGTAGGACACTGTAATTACCATGAGATACAAACAGACCCTCGAGCAAACAAAACTAATTGTGGTTAGAATTCCCTGGCCATCTGCAGGAAAGGTTAAACCTGGCTTAATATTTCAAATGATGGTAACTTTTAGTGTTGATGTCTTTAGCACAAAGAATTTTCCTAATATACAAAGGCTTTGACGTTAAAGAATGGTGTTTCCCTTCACAGTAAAGAATTAGCACTGGCTCCCAGCCAGTGTGTAATGGGAAGCTGCATATGTTAGGAAATCCTGACTCCCAGTGGCAAAGGACTAAAATGCTTCTGAGACTCGGTCTGCCTAAATGTAAGAACATTATTAACAACACCAGCCATAAAGAATCATGACAACTAAGCATTTAGAAATAGGGCTAATGATAAAGAAAATTCAAGCACACTGGGATCTCAAAAATGCATGATTAAAAGTTCAAATCTACATTAAACAATTATTACATCCCTCTGCATTTTCTAGCATGTGTTTACAGCTCAGTCTGAATTGATTTTTTAAACAATAAAGCTCTGTGAAAGGCGAGATAGGTTTTAAATTCAAACCATTACTGCTTCTGCATGTGACTGCTACATTTACCTTGACAAATTCCTTATATTCTACATGAGTTATTAGATATAATAATTTAAAATCCTTATTAATGCTTTGTGGAATCTGTAGTTGCCTACAGTAATCTTCAACTTCCTAGAGAAGAGGCTCTTCTCTAGGACGGTACTGATATGATCCATGTTTCACCTTTTGTCTTTCTTTAACTGGGATTCAGAACTGTAGGGTCCCTATGAATCAAAAAGTCATTCATTCTGATTCAAAAATTTCAACCCTGGTTTTGTTCCAGCAGACCAGAACTGAGATGACAGAGTAGGATGATCTAGTAATTCTTCTGCTAGCTCTGCATGATCTGTGTAATGCAAGGACAATAGCAGTACTTCCAGGAATAAATCCAAGATCTAGTGGAGAAAATAGAATACTTTCCAGCCAGGACAGAAAAACTCAGATCATATTTAAGAGGTGTCATACTGCTGGTAATACTACACAGAATTACAGGACAAGAAACAAATATTTAAGATTTAAGAAGCTGTTAAATCAGGAAATTAATGAATTTTAAATGAATATGGTCTGTCTCAAAATGGTCTTCTGAAACACTGGTTGAACACAAGCACTGGCTTAACTTATAAGAGAATGATGAACTATTAACAGTAGCAAGAATGGTGACCACATGAGCCAAAACACACCCTGCTTATGCCCTGACATCACATGAGAAGTGTAAAGAGGTCAAGCCATAAATCTCAGAATATGCCATGGCCTTGTCCATAAACCCAGTATGTCTGAGGTGTTACGTCAGTAACAGGTGATAAAGCCCATCTGTAGTTACTACACCACAAAAGCAGAACAAACAATACTACATCAGTACCTGAAATGCTAATCCTTGAGTAGAGATGTGACAGACTAGCAGCAGACTCACAGATGACTTACTTTTGTTTCTTCTTGGAAGTCTGGAGAGTTTAAACCTTACCAGCCCAAGAACTCATGGACCAAGTGGAACAGAAGCCTGGCTTTTCAAGTACATACAGCAAACTAGATCCAAAATTACAGTATTCTGACATCACAGCAGTCTGTTAAAAGGTCGGGATCTTCATCTTCAAGAAGATCAGTCATTCAAAACAACTGATCTACTCAAAATACATGTAGAGCCTTCAGGGAAGCCTGGATATTCATTCTGAAGAGGATAAACTTGAGTTCCACATCTGCTTGCCTCTCAAACAAGCTTGTGAAACAAAAGGTCTGTGTCCTGGCATCAACAATGTAGTGTTCTGAGACCTCACGGCTGCCAGGTTCTTCATACAGCCCCAGGCAGCTTTTGAGCTTAAGAGACTTTGCAGAGTCCTGTATCTAGGCATAAATCCTGGAAAGAGGAGTATGGAACCTGTAGATACTGTAATCTCTCTCTGGACCTCTGCCTGCTGAGTTTTATCCAATGAACCACCCACTGGGATCTCTCTACATAAAACTAAACACAGGAAACCACATTCCACTAGCCTTCCAAAACACAAAACCAGCTCTCCTAAGAATCCTGTAGCATATGCTACCAAGTCCTTAAATTAGTTGTGACCCATGCCTGAGCTGAGGGCATCAGAAAGAAATTCATCACTTGACATCAGAACTCAAACTCTATAAGACTGTGCCTTCACATCAGCAACAAGGCTTGCCTTCACATCAGCACACAATGCCAGAGGAACCTACACCAGAATAATATCAGAGAATTTTGTATCCTGACATCAGAGCAGCAAGGCAGCAGCGCTGAGCCAGAGCCTCTGAAGACACACAAATATTAAAACAGCAGGACCAGATTTATTTATCTACAAGCCACACACAAGTGTGTGCTTCTACTTCAGCCAGCAAGATGATGTGCCAAACTATGAGTTCATGTGGTGTGGGCTTGGGATCTATCCCACAGAGCAGTAGCTGAGCACAGCTTCAATCAAAGGGACCACCTGGAGAGGATGGTACATTTCAGCATGGAGAAAGATGACTTTCAGTCATCCCACAAATGCCAAAAATAATGAACAAATGTTCCACAGAATCTATCCAGCTCTAGCCAAGTTTAAAAAAAGGACAGCGGTGGGTTTACTTTTTCTTATGGCATAATGCAGCCATTCACATGTTATAGCTGGCCATTTAATGGGATTTATTCTTGCATAACCCATACAGCCCAAACAAAGCAGAACAGTGACAAGCTCCAATCTAGACATTCACAGATTCTTGCAGCCTTCACATGGATAAAATATCACACAGAAAATTAGTTCAGCTGCATAAACAGAGGACTTCACCCAGAGACATGATAAAAATGTTTAGGCATTTTTGATACCTGCTCTCCCTGTATTGATCCCATCCCATTCCCCTTGACCTATGTATTCATCAGACCCATCCCATTTACTAATTAATACTGCAACTTAGTGAGTAGACAGGAAATAGCATTTTCCCTTCTCTCATATGGGTTTTTTTCACAACTATGCCAAATGTTAAACTCTAATACCTGCTATTTGTCTCTAATATCTGGTATTTGTCTTTGAGTGTTCTACATTCAATGCTCTTTCAAAAGTAGTTATTGTATTGCAATTCCCAGCAATAGCAGTCATAAGGTATCTAGGTGTTTAAACAATGCATAATGAAAAGACTAGCGCAGAAATCTTCTAAATCAATTAAAATTTTTTCTTTTCCTGTGAAATACATTTTATAATCTATGAGCAGAAGGCATCACATCTAAGCTCTTGCATGTTACAGGATGTTCTTTGCCACCCAGTCACCTCAGCCCTGAAGACAGCAACACTTGATTCGTTGCTGTTTAGCTTCTAGAAAGGGAGACACTTTAGAAAGAAGACACCAAGAAGAAAATGTACTGCTCAGTCACAATCAATAATAGCAGGGCTGGTACAACACAATACAAGGCCAGCCTGCCCTCAGTGCTGGCCACCATGGGTTAATGGAAGGTACTGCTGCAGTGACTCTGCACAGCAGCAGCTACAGGAACAGCACAAAGGTCTTCCTCCTGCAGCCTCCTAGAGCTCCTGATTCTGAATTAAACCATTAGGATTACTTATACTTTCCATAACTTGTAGTTTATATTAATTTATACAAGTTTCTCCCTTATTGGATATTTCAGATAAAACTTTCAATATGTGTTTGCAAGTGTAAAGGCTACAAAATTGCATTTTGTGTGTTAAGACTGGACCAGCTCATTGCAGATTAGCTGTGAAACTGGGAGAAAAGGGACAATTTAGGAGACCTCCTTTTCTGGACAGACAATAGGCCCTCTTTTGAATCACTCATTTTAGTTCCCTGGTTTGATGAGACCACTGAGGCGCAAATGACCTTCCTCTGAAATGCACCACTGGTTTCCTTTCAGAATCTGATTAAAGCTATTCTGGTTATACATGAGAGAAAGATTAGGACCATGTTTGTCACAGTAGCTTTGAATTCTAGAATAATTTTACTAATTTGAAGACACTGATGGAGGGATAGCAATTGTAATTTTGTTAAGGTAAAATGAAAGGTAGGTAATCTATTTTACCCAAAGGAATATGCTTTTCCAATCCCATCTCTTGCTCCTGTGACCACTGGAGAAAGCAAAAATGATACAGATTACATTTGGATCTCTGAATTTGTGAATTGTTCAATCCTCATCATCTGCATTTCCTGAATGATACAACCTAAATGTCTCAACTGAAGAATAGAACCAGTCTTCTAGTATTTTTTCCTTGTGACCAATGCATCTCTTAGTTTATTCAGCACTTTCTGTCATTAAAGCAAATCTCTCCCCAAGGTAGTCCATGTGGTACAGGAGGTAGTTATTACTCTCATTTTCAGTTATGTCCATAAGCAACAAGTCAATTGTTGAAGAGCTGGCAGAATTTTCTTCCATGTATGTATTTTCACAAGTTCTGTTTTGCAAGCTTTGAATTTATATGCTGGTGGCAGAATGGTAGGAGATAAAGACCACCTGAAACCGATACAACAATTTCTCACACAAGATTTCTGTCTGTAAGGAAAGATCACATCAAACTTGCCACCACCTATAAAATGCTCTTCCTTCAGAGCTGTACTACTGAGTTTACTTTTGGATTTAGTCTTAGTATGAAAATAAACAAATCCTGGCATTTGTAAAGTACCCTGAACTTTAAACACTATGCATATAAATAAAAAGAGGAACTATAAACATAGAGAAGAAATAACCAAAGCAGTTCCAAGGTAAACCTGGTAAGTTTTAGAGCAAATGAAAAACTAGTCAATATAAAAAAATGTGGATTAAGGACTTTTGTGTTGACAGAGACACAGAAAGCAAAGTGGTTTTGAATGGTTAGGTGTTGCCAACAGAAGAACAATTACTCTCTGATTTCACAGGGAAATGAGATCCCAGTAAAGAAGCGGTGGGTATTAAGTTTCCTAACAGACCTGTAGATGAAAAGTGAAGAGTCTGTTGAGAAACAAGCTTCCACATGCCAATTTTAATTTTCATGATTATCAGAATCTCAGGTGCCACATGACAACACAAATTATCTGAGTCTTATGAATTTTACTGGGGCCAGAAGACTTTGTTTATAGAAACACAGCATAAAGGTTCATTGAAAGAAACAAGTCTTCCAACCCTAAGTGAAAAGAAAGATTCTACACAGCAAATTCCACATGCTGTTCCTCATCTCATACACAGAAGGGAGCTCTTTGCCTCACTTAAGTCAAAATGAGACCTATGCACTGCCATAGAAGTGTGTGGTATTCAGGCAGGTCTTCTACAGGAATGGATTTATTTTATTAATCCACTAGAAGATGTGGTAGTTAAACATATATTTAATAGTTAATTATATATTTAATTGATGTATTTTATATATTTAATAATTTTGTATATTTTGTCCCATCAATTCTAATGCAGGAAAAAGGAATCAAACACAAGTCTACTGTTCAGGTAATTTTTTAACAACAAGCTGCCATCAGCAACATTGGCAGCCAAGGAACCCAGGAGCTGTTCATCCCTGCTTTATACTGATCGTCTAACGAGCTTAAGAAACACATGAATAATCAATAGGAAGAAGCAGATGCTTGTTAAACTCTGTGTTATTCTACAAGAAAGCATACTATCTTAGAAAACGCTGCCAACATGCAGCTTTGGAAGATTTTAGACTAAAGTAAATTTAGTTCATTAATGGTATCATTAAGGATAGGTCAGCAATTTGGAAAAGAATACACTGGAACAACATCAGCAGGAACAAGAAAAGTTGCTTTGAAAACTGGAGCACATATGCTAGACATAAACTAGCATCTTCACATACCAGAAAACTGAGGATCTGGGCAATGCCACTAAAATAAAAGCATTTGCAGCAGAGAGAAAACAGCAGAAGTAGCAACAGGGAAAGAATTCACATCTACACACCAGGGTGTGAGCTGTTACCAGTCTGACCAGTTTTCTATTCTCCCCAAGTACACAAAACCTTCAAGTTCATAAACCCAAAGCAAACCATACATATCAGAAACTGTGTTTCATCCTGAAGGAACAAGGTAACGAAATACAAGGAAAACCATTCCTGATTAGTGATGTAACAATCCACCACCCAATTACAAGCGGAAAGTGAAGCAATTTCCTTTACCTGCCCATTCTCCCATTGACTGAAAGAAAATCTAAGGCAAAGAACTTCAGACATATGGAAAAAGGTCTCACATGAATCTGATGCATTTTATCAGAGTACAGAAACAGATCAGAGCCCCAGCAAGACTGAGTAGCTGATGCTGGAACACTTCCATGGTGAGAGAAGGTAGTGAGCTTGTATGAATCAGACATTCTCTGCATGGAAAATGCCTCCTTCCAGCCCATTGTTAGTCTCTGAGCCTTGGAAGAGAATTTAGAGGACGAATCTAGTCACATGATTTCATTTTCCAGGAAATGTCCAGGATTTAGATTAGCATAACATCACTACATTACACCCACATTTGTAAACTATTGAGAAAATCCAAAGTAAACAATGATTTCTGATGTTGGCCTCAGGAGAAAGGTTTCACTTCTTTTCTGGAAACTACATAAACCCAAAAAATTAATTGTATTGTCATTGTTTACCATTCATAGAGACCAGAGATGTATCCAAAACAAACCCTTAAAAAAGAATACCCCAAACAGAGATCAACACTACTTCTTACAGTGAAGAGTTAAATTGTGGTCCAGACATTTCCAGGACAAATTCACACTAGAACCAGAAAAAAAGATTTATCGTGTTACATTACTGACACCTTCAGATAGAAACACACAATTGTGCAGATGCTTTACAAGACAATGTCTGAATCACAAGGAAGGTTATCTGTAACAAGATAAAAAATCATTACTGTCTTAGCTTAACAACAACCCAGTTTCCTCACACTAAAGCAGTCTTCATTTTCCTCTCAGGGCTCACCTCATAAGTAAGCCAGACCAAACAAATAAAAAAGGTTTGAATATTACATTTACAAAAGTATTTACAATCAATCACGAATAACCCAAAAAATTACTCACTGTTCAAGGAATACTTTAAATTTGAAGAGGTATCACTATTTTCTACATGTAAAAAATAATGCTGAGTACCTCTTTTAAATTAATGCCCCCAAAATTTAAAAGAATTCCTTCTATTTAATGATGGAATCAAAACACAATCTTCCACAGCTGTCAGTCTTCTGTTCTGGACTTCCATGTTTCCATTTTCTTTTCCTGTGGTTGGTAATGAGTCTCAGATAGGTCTACAAGTCATGGGCCCAATATAAGTAAATTAGGGCAAGATAATGAGAAGAAAATTAATAAATTCTTAAGTATGTGAAGAATTGTTCGGTCTAAGTGTTTTTTTCTTGAGGTAAGGTCCTTTTTTCCTCTCTGACTTCCACAGGAATCACTGCAAAAAATTTACACAGTGAATAGGTAGAAAGTCGCTTGGGTGATCACATTTCTTCACCGCTAAAAAAGCCCCACAAAATTTAGAGCATGAACAGATTAATGAACAGGGCAACATTTTTTTGGTCCAGTAATGATTTTTCTTTGTATGTTTCCTTGTAAATATACCCTGGCACCTATAATGGTATGAATGTCATATTTAAAACCTTAAGTTCATTAATATGAAATCTGTAGAAAAGTAAGCAGCTGTAACCTAAAAAATCAGTTTTAAGTTTCTATCTTAGTAACTGAAAGACACAATTATTGATGATCTGGGTGAAAAACCCATACAATTTCCTAAATTCTAACATGATAGTTGTCTCTGGTTGAGCCCATATTGCCAGAATTTTAATCAGCAAATTTACTGAAATCAACAGTATCTCAGACACAGAGGAAAAAAGAAAGTGACTGAAGCTGAATTTCTTTGTGAAAGTATACAAGCAATTGCAAGTACTTCTAGATAGTACCTATTTCTTGTTATTCCTAGATTTATTTTTTAAATTATTCTGAGTAACACTGTCATAAAGACTATAACTATCAGGTCTGTATTTCAGGTGAAAAATCTAAGTCTGAAGCACTTCAAAAACATTCTATGAACATGAAATTAAAATCACTTCACTATGGTACAGAATGACCTAAAGAAACTACTTGAAGTACACTAGAGGAGTTAATCATATAAAAAGCAAATAGTAGTGTTGTTCATGTGCTTAGTACAATTGAATATGTCCATTCACAAAAAAAAAAAAGTAACCCAAACAAAACACCTGTGAAAACTGTAATCTGTATCATTTTATTTATAAAAGTTAGAGCAAAATATTAATTAATTATATGCGAATGTTAAGTGTTCCTTTGTGGGAACTACATCTTATTTAGCAGATGCCTTTGTGTGTTCTTCAGTATTGCAATCAAATGGCACTCATACTAATTTCACAAAAAAATGAAAACTTTCCAATACCTTGTCTCATGGAAGAGAGTTAAGGTTCAGTAATTGAAATTGTGGAGGTAGAGATGTTCTGAAGAAAGAGGAGCCTTATAAAAGAATACACTCAAAAATATTGAAGGTTTTTAAGCATATAGGAAATTTTTAAAAACAGATGATGACGGAAAAATATTTCCAGCAATGCTTTCCCTCCACAGGTCTTCAACAGATAGAAAATGAAAGTCACATTCTTTGCCAGCTGTGAGAAAATTGATAGCTCAGATTTCTCTTTTCACTTTGACCATATCTTTAAATGCCACTTCTAGTATCTGCAGTCACTGCTCCTCTTGCCATTCAAATCCATGCAGGCAGTCACTCCCTGAATCTTCTGGTGTTACCCATATGTTTCTTAGATCTAATTCAGACTGGTCATTGATGTGCTACACACAGAGTAATGTTTTCTGATTTTCTGTATTTTCAGATTAGCTGTATTTTAATTGAAGTGATCAAACAAGTCATTAGACCACCCTGGTTCCATGTCAAAGTCTTTTCAAATCTTCTTTTGATTTGATTATTTCCAAAAATTTTGGCTCATGCTCACAGGGAATTGAGGACTTCAACAAGATTAATTTCTCTGCTGTCTTCCAGCACTTCAGTGTGCCTATCACATTTTCAAAGGTTAACAGTTTCTCCTCAGAGAAACAGGTAAGCATTGTCAAATATTTTCAAAGAAGGAAATACAGATACAGGTGTTATTGAAATATAGATACAGGTCTTATTGTCCCAGATGATCACTAAGACAGTCAGTCTGGGCCTCTTAACCACTGTACCAGCTGAGCCTACTGTAGTTATCCCCAGGCTCATTATGATTTCTTGCTTAGAACTGAAAGCATAAATGAGTACCAGATAAGCTTTTACTGTATATATAAGACACAACAGGACACTAGCATTGCTCCTTGTTTAAACACAAGTCAGTCTTCCACATATCTATATTTCTTTTTCCTACTATGTTTGTACATAGTAGCACACTTCTCTGCAGCAAGGCGGTGGCAGATAAAAGGTGAGAGGAGAGGAATGTGATATAAAAAGAAAAATGTACCTTAACAAAAATAGATTTGTCAGTACTGGCTCACAGACACACATACACAAAAAATCTTCAAATATTAAAATATCCCCTGTCATTTCCCTACTCTCCTTGATCTGCTGCAAAGTTATGAGGGTTCATTTATAACAACAGTGACAATTTCTGCAGAAATTGCAGAAATCACACCATAGTGTGATTGAGGATGAGAAAAAACACAGAGAGAGAATGCCTACACAATGTACATACATGGACATAGCCTGAATTTTTTAGTTGACACACAGGGAACAATCTGGGGCCAAATACCCTCTTTGCTCCATACTTTCTATATCACTTACCCAAGAGCACATGCATGCGTGAAATCAATCTGAAACACTAGGATCTTTCATCTCCCCAGTGATATCTAGGTTTGCATATGGCATAAGGCAATGGTGAATCAAGCCTCATGATCTTTACAGGGAATTTTGCCTCAAGAGACTACAGGCAGTCACTGAAACAAAGCTCAAAGATCTTGTTGAAATAGCACCAAGTACAGTATGGTAAATGCAGAAATCTACAACTTAAGATTGGCTCATAGCATTCCTCCCTACAAAATGGCTTTCAGATTAAGAAGAAAAAGCTAAAATCAAACTAGCTTGCATGTAAAAAAAAATGGTGAGCAAGAATATTTCTGAGCCAGTGAATTGTGTGCATCTGTGACAACTGAGGTAGATTTTTTTGTTGTTGTTCCAAATATGTTCCAGCATACACTTATTTAAGGTCTTGGCAATGCTAAACAAACTTGTATCTTCAGTCTCTTTCAAGGCAGGCATTTTGTCTAAGTCTTTGACACTGTAAGTGCATTCTCTTCATCCCCAGGTTGTGCAGGCTTGCTGTTTCCTCTTAATGTTAAAAATGAGTATCTCAGTCCTCCTGCCATGCTAAACAAAAGAGAATGAACAGTGGTGTCAAAGATGTCTGATGTTACAGATGTCATTTCATAGGTACATAACTTTCCTTCTGAAGAGCTAAAGAACACCAGCTATCATAAACTAGGAGCACCTAAGAGCTATGTAACCCATCTGAGAAAGCAGCCCCAAGCAGACAAAGATCAATTACCAGTTGCTCACACAGATTCATACACACAGGGCATCATCTAAGCCCAGAAAGTAACCACTCACAAGTTAGAGCTTATATTCAATGGGCACAACTCATTCAGTCAGTGTTCTCACTTCCCACCTGACTTTTACTTGGAAGCCTCACAGCTCAGAACTGCTGCTCATAAAAAATAAATAATTCCACACAGTAAAACTGCAGGCATATTTCCACAATTAGGCCTTACCACAGCAATATTTAATGTCTGAAAACAGACATGAAAAGACATAACTAACTGTAATGACATGCTGAGGCAGTGCTTTGTCAGGCCAGTAGTTTCAAAACTGCATCACTGAATGAGTCCAATCAAACAAAATATAAAACTAGAACTCACTGAGAAATTTTCAGCTTTAATAAATAAAGGCTATTCAAGTTTCACTTACCAAATATTTAGCCCTACAAAGTTTAACATGGAGAATATGTAATCTCCACCAATCAACATTCCGATGTAAGCAATGGATATATTCTGAAAGGAAACAAAAATAATGCATTTATTTAAGTCAGATTTCATCTCCATGAATACAAACAATATCAACTAATTCACTTTTCTAAGGAAATAGTTATACTGTGTTGCTGACCACTTTAAAATCAGCTTTTAAACTAATTTCATGGATGTCAGCCTTATGGATAATGTAGAATAATAAAATCAGTATGTTTTCTAAATGTATACAATGCACAGTAACTTTCTAGGGGAAAAAAAAGGCTATTTAAATTTAGGT